CCTTGGCTGGTCGCCCCCGCCGCAGCTCCACATGTGGCTGCCGCCACCCCCCGCTCTGAGTCCAGCCAAAAACCACTGCTTAGGTAACTGGCACTTTTAGATTACCAGCATCCCCCAATCCCCATTCATGCTGGATAACAAAGCTTTTACTGTAGTATGAAATTGTATGCCTGTGTGCGTGTGTGTGTATACAAACAAGCAGTATAAAAAACATTTGCTAAACAATGGATGCAGTCTCTAAAGAGCATTTTTGTTCCTCCTTTTTCTTCAACTTTGGTTGTTTTATATGTTAAAATTGGTAAAGAGCGCTTGTATGAAAAAGACAACTATGTTAATAAAACTTGATCACATACAAAATATCATATTCAATATAAAATGTATACAAGCATGCAAGTGCAACAGAAATCAAAGATATGAGTGCATACCAAAACTTATCACTGAGTTAATTCTATAAATAGTATTTTAAAAATCTAAATAAGAATTAATCAAAATGCTCTGAAATACAGAACCTGTGAGAGAGGGGGAAGTACAGTAAAATAGTTTGTTTTTTTCCACTAATTGTAGAAAATCATAGAAGACAGGGGACAAAACATGTTAAATACGAGCAGTAAGTTATCGAGCTGTTCCTTAATTTTTCAGCACGAAGACGAGATATGCATCTTACAAAAGAACAAGAGAGCCGTCTTCCTTCACACTGGTTGAAAAGTAAAGGGGCCCATACCACAATGGCAGATGCACTGTGGCGCCTTCGAGACTTGATGCTACGAGACACCCTGAACATCCGTCAAGCATACAATATAGAAAATGTTTAATCACATAAATTGCTTCTTTGATACCAACATATGAGAAGTTTTGTGGAACAAAAGCTGTTTTAGTTGCTGGGTGGGGAGAGAACAAACAATAATTTTTATTGCATTTTACTGTACATTGCAAGACCATTTTTATATAAGAACATTTTTAATAAGCATATTTCACTTTTTGTTATATTAAGTTGACTTTATCAAATACACAAATTTTTGCATATGTTTCCTTTATTTGAAAGGCGATTTCATATTTGGTTTTGTGTAGTCAAGATTTCATCTTTCTTATACTATATTGCTGAAAACCTGATGCCATCAACTTTTTATATAAAAAAAGAAAAGCAAAACAAATAAGTATTTACAGATTAGTTCAGAAGTACAATGGAATGTGAAATTAGTCATAGTTTACATCTTAGAAGAATGTATGTACATGTGCTTGTTTGTATTAGCCACTTCCAACAGAAGTGTCACTTGGATGTGAACATAAGCTTTATTTAAATAAATAAAGGAAAAGGTAAGGGGTGCACTGACACTAGGAAAAATCAGATTGTAGTTCATTACCAATAAAGCTCCACACGTAGCAATGGTGGAAGTGCTAGTGTAGACAGGATACAGGTGTGTTGACTGCTGTGTTATCCAACCCTGTCCAATTATTTGATGGTGTAGACAAGGCCATTGTGATCTCGAATCAGTTACAGAATATTTATGCATACTTAACCACAAATGAATGCATTTGAAAGGTGAAGTGCTTTATCTGCCAAGACCTGTCATCAGGGTTCTGTGACAACTCCTAAAGCAGTGTAGGGAGTTGCATTTCCTGTGCGGTTCTAGACTCTTTAATTGCAAGAGAAATGCAGAGCATTGAATTTATTCAGATCTTGGAAGGTAAGTAAAAGGGGGTAAATTTTCAGCAATGTTGTTTAAAAATATATGTGATGTTAAAATTGATGTGTTCTGTTTAATGATTTGGTATTTGTAAGACTTTTTTGTGGTTTTTAAGTGACTTAGTTCACCTTCATCAAAGTACTACAGTGCAGATGAAAATAATTTTGACACGCACATTTAGCTTTAAAATAAAATAATGCGGTGTGTGCAAAATCAGCACAATCTATATCAGAGTTTATAGTTGGAAAGAATAGGCTACTTGCATTACAAGCTTTTTCTTAATTACTAGGTACACGTAGTGTCTATCCCAGTTTGAGGGTTGTGATATCTTTCTGTTCAGAATTACCAGTCAGTTTAAATCAACCTACCTACCTTTTTAACTGCAAAGCTGCTTATCAAAGTTAAATCCTTTTATGATACTTCATCTGTTTTCAAAAGAAGATTTTGGATTGTAGCAAATAATAGAAAAATATATGGGAAAGCAATGTTACTTAAAAAAATTGAGTAGGGTGATCATTGAATCAAATGATCAAGCCATAAGAGCTAATTTATTGATATGTCCTCATCTAAGGAGTGAGTGAAGTACTTATCATTACGTATTTTAAAAACCCAGAATAGAAATGTCTTCTTTGAGTACAGTGGGCCAAACCTTAAATTTTTGCTTTCAAATTGATAACATTTTGGGATAATATCCTTATTACAAAGATAAAGGAAAGTGCCTTATGCAAGTATAAATTGTGACTAATCTTATGCATTTAGTTAATGTTTTCTAGTAGTCGCAACTGGAAAACTAAATCTTTAAACGTTACTGATGTGAAGGAACTGTAGGTAAACAGTGTGCAGAGAAACTATATTTGTAATTTTGAGCCCTACCAGTAATGCGCCCATGGTATATTAACCCTTTCTTTAGTTTACCAGCCTTTTTAAATTGCCAACTTTGTTTAATAGTGTAGAAATATTTTGCAAACATTTTGAAATCCATATATACATAGTATAATTTTAATATACATTCATATGGTGATCAGCTTTGCAGTTAACAAACACAAAGATGGAACATGGAGCTGAAACAGATAAGCAGTAAATTATAGTTTTTGGGTGTTTAGAACCATCATGGATTGTATTAATAAAGTCAAATCTCTTTTTAAGCATCTAACAAAGTTACACCAAAGAGCCTGGAATTAACTTTACTTAAGTTATTTTTTATTTATTTGAATTTTTCTTTTGAGGACTGGATGGTACTCCCTATTGAGCCTATAAAATTCAGGTCTTTAATTTGTCATAAAGGTCAGTGTTGGTCACCTTGTAGCATTGCATCTTTCTCATCCAGTGGGCTTGGGGGGCACTGCCTTCACTGCTTCTCCTGGCCCTGGAGCAAGAGATTGGAACTGTAAACATCCTGGGTCTCCTGTACGGCAGTGCAGAGCACTACCAATAGGCCACTAGGCTGGTCCTAATCAATTATATTAAACTTTGTTTATTTATTTCAAAATCATGTTTCTGTATGCTGGGGGCATTTCAGTGGAGAATGCAGTAAAATTTAGCATTTAATTACTATAATCTAGAATTTCACAGGCAGCAAAAGAAACTTTTCTAACTCTGAATAGTTTAAAAGAAGATGTTTCTCTTTGTGGGCATTTGAACCCATCGCTTGTTTTTCATTGCCACTCATTGTATTGGCATAAATGAAAGTTTAATATTAAAATAAAAGTATGTATGGGAAATGGTTGGCTTCTGTAAGAATGAAAAATAGATTAATATAGGATTTGTATTTTAGTAAACCAGTTGGAGGCCATGGATTATTCATTTCTTTTCCTCGTTCCTTCCCTCTCTTCCCTCCAAGAGAAAATTTACGATGGGTGTTTATGTAAAAGAAAAAAAAAGCTCTGATTTTTTTGGTATCGGTGATCTTTTCAATATATGTATTCGGACCTGGTTAATCCATTCTGGGCTTTTCCTTACATCTGTGTACCCAAAAAGTTTGTGGTAACCAGGCTTTTAACATGTATGTACCATCAACTTGCTTATCTGAGGCTTTTTAGTTTTAATAAAAATAGTTTACAAAGTGATTTGGATTAACCAGGTTTGATTGTCCTATTAAGACTTGTGTTTTCAAAATTTTATTTCAAGTAGCTCTGTCTCTTGAAAATCCAAATTTGTTATCAAAGTGTTGGTGTGTGTAGGGATCTATGCACAGGGGGAATGAGAAGGGTGTGTGTGAAGAATCAGTAGGCAGTATTCCTTAGATTGCCCTGAATGCAGCAGGAAATTCCTAGGCTATAATGCCAGGACAATGATGTTGGAAAATTTTGGCAAACATTGACCCCTGAGGAATATGACCTTGTGAAGGTCAGGGACTGAAAAAATAAATTGGTAAAAGGGAAGGAAGCAGTAACAAACTAGTCATGATTACAGTGACAAAATAAGAATCTGGACTGCAAGCATAAATTGGCAGTCAGTCACGCACGCGTGCGCGCACACACCCCTTCCCAATGTGTGTGCACTTATACTGCTGAGAATCAGCAGCATGTCTATTTAAATCCTAGGAGCAGGACTAATTCCGGACTATCTTTTATGCATCTGGCAAGTAAGTTAAATTAGAACACTAAAAATGAGGAAAAACAGCTTTACCTAACATTTAACATCTAGTATTAAATTTCAGATACTAAAGAAAAAATATGGAAAAAAAGATTTTTAAAAGAGACACCTAATTCAGGCTTTAGGTTTCATTGCTATCAAATTTCAAGGACAATTCAAATTAGATGATCAGAATAACATATCATATAACAATTAGTTTAATCTGCAAAAATGAATAACTCCCAAATCAAGAGAGTAAACTTTACTTCTCAAATTGATGCAACATCCATTGGCTTTTTAAACTGACTGTTCACAGCCCAGTACCACACAGGGGCCTCTACAATCCATTTTAGCAACAAATTTTTTGATCTGAAAGTTGACTCTGTATATAATTTTTTTTTTTTATTCCTAATTTTTATTTGCTGTCAAATCTAATTAAACAGCCTAATGGTATAATGGTCCCAGCTCATTGCAGGTAACTTTTAGGAGATTTTCCATGCTGGCTGTCTACCTCAGGATGATTTTCTTGAGAGTTCCAGTAAAAATGAAAGGATTGGTCGGATGGAACAGGGGAGAAAAATCTGTTACAGCACACTCCTTTCTGGAACTTAAAGATCTCTGAATCTCTGTGTTCCTTCGCTGTCATCAAGTATCTGGCAAAGTCTACGTCTTACTCCCCCCTAGTAGTGCTCCATATAGAGGATTACAACCTATAATTGCACATAAGTGGTTGGTTAGCTGTATTTGCCTGAAGTTGGGCAGGAGGTAGGTTAGGGTATGACTAGTTAGAACACAGATTCTCAGCCGGAGTCCCTTAAGATCCTTTTAAGGATGTAGCAGGATGCAATTTAATATTAACATTGTTAGGTGTGTGAACATGATTCGCAAGATAAAGCCAGAGATTTCAAATAAGAATCCACAGTGTTAAATATTCTGAACTGTTGTGGTCTTTCTGAGTTCTTTGTAGTAGAAAAATTGCTCTGTTATTTTCCTGTAGTCAAAAAACAAGTGAAAACTAAGAGCTGCCATTTTCCAAGGGGTGTCTTGAGTCTAAAAAGATTAAGAACCACTGAGTTAGAGACAAGTTCAGAGAGGCATGAGCTTTTGTCTGATTAAATGGATATCTATGAAAGTTCTTACCTCTGAATCAAATGCCAGCGTGCCCTGCTTCAGTCTAAAATTGGTATCAGTTGTTAAGTTAGCTGAAGTGACAGAGGTCTATGTTGTGTCTCAGGTTTCTAACCGTGCTGATGAACTATGTGGATGTCAATTACACATGCTGAAATATATCTTTTAAATTTCCTTTTTAAAAACTTTGGCAATTGCACAGAACTGCTCTAAAAACATTGAGAGTTTGACAATCACTCAAAAGTTAGGAAACATCAGAATATAAGGGTGTCTATGACCAGAATTTGGTCCCCTCATCTAATATGATAGTGTTTAATTGTATGATTGCATACCTCTTTTTCCACAGGATAGATCTGCCCTAAAGATGCCTCAGGGTTATGTAATAAAAGGCAACTTTTGTCTGCAGGATCCTCCTCCATTGTCATTAGTAGGATGTGTAGCAAAAGAGTGGAGAAATGGATTCTTTCTTCCTTTGCCGTGGAGTTTCTGTATGATGCTAAGCAAACCTTCTTTATCTCCTTGCCCAACTTGAGATGCAGTTTGATTTGCAGAAGTGATCAGCTTTCACTGATAAAACTGAAATAAAAAGGAGCTGTACTTCGAAAACAGAGTGCTATAAAAATGCTAAGTATTCTGAAAAGTAGGAATTTAGGCAAATCAAGCTAGGTACCTGAAATTATTGGATCTTTTTTACTTTGATTTTCATGCCTCAGTTCCCTGTTTGTAAAACGGATTAAATCATTTTCTCCAATGGATGTTTTGAAAGAAATAAAGAATATGGTACTCAAACTATAGTAATTAGTGCCATAAGAAATTAATTGTATGTTGGGAGCAAGATTTGAATAATGCAGTAAATAACCCTCCAAACAGGGCTCAATAATGAGGATAAAAAAATATTGAACAGCTCTAAGAACCATCTAACTTGAGTGCTTAAATTTACAACTTTAACAGAATATTGGGCATAACTTTTAAGCCAGAGTAGTGTCCAGAGAACTTAATTGGTGTAGGAAACGATTTCATAGTAGTAAAGCTTAGCACGTGTTTGAACTCGGTTCCTATACCACATAGTCTAACTGCCAGAATTACAAGTCTATTACTCTTACTTCTAAAACTGATGTATTTCTCTCCCAGTTGCTCAGTTGCCGTTGTTTATGCTTTTTGTTCCTCTAGCAAACCATTT